GGACAGTAGTAACGGCTCTAAAATCTGAACAAAAAGCTTTTAGTTTAAAGACCATAATAAGTATGACACTTATATGAATGCTAAACAGCTTGTTTTCCTATGATTTCGCTATTTACATGTTATGACCACTAAATGGCAAAAAAGGTTATCAAAAACGGACATTAATGTTGGGCAAATAAATTGTTCGTTCATGAATGATCTCAATTCAAATGATCTTGACAATTTAGGGAAACTTGGAAGTCCCCATATGGGTTTTCCCAGTAGCTTACACACAAGGATTTCAATAATTAAACTCAGGAACGTCAAGCCTTTCATGATGCTCATTGTTAATTGATTAATAGCTTCCGAAGGCACCTCAACTTGGGTCAGTTTTTGTGAATAACACTTAAAAATTATATAATTTTCAGCAAAACTCTTCCTTATTCAGTCGATTGTTAGTTTGGACCTAATAATATTTCGGCATCTGAAGTTTATACATGAAGAAAATTTATTATGATAACGAAAAGCTTTTCCCTAATGTCTTCCCAACTTACCTGCGTATTTCTAACAAATAATGATATTACGGATTGATCTGGAATAAACCAATAACCGGCTTATATTAAAAAAAGTAATAAAAACATTGTCGGACTGGTGATGGCTAAAATGTAGATGGAACTTTTTGACAAAAATACTTCGATTAGCAAAATAGTACGTCAATGTATAATTGCAAGAAACAATTTATGAATAAATGGACATGATCTTGTAAAAAATCGGTGAATGTTGAAAACGGTATTGAATGCAAACTTACATCCACTAAGTAACTGAGGAAAATCATGATGCACTAGGCAGATGCTTTTTTCACAATAGACAATATCACTCTTCTATTGGGTAACATGACAAACAACCGTAAACATTCTAAAGGTAATGTAATGTGATAGAAATATTATCAGGTTGACGGCATGGCAGCACATTATACATCACATCTGTCTCTGTTTTGACAGATTTATGCACGATAGGCTAATGTAAATAAGCACAATGATTTACGTATTCGGAAATAATACATTTTTTAAGTAATCGCAAATGTTTAAATTGTAGGCAAGATAACTTTGAAATCAGAGTTCCACCCTATTCATTTCATTAGTATGATACCAAAGCAATGATTTATTATTTTGTCTGGTATGTGCTAAGACGGCCGAAAAGAACTTGATAGAAAATAAATCAAAGCAGTTTAAGATAAATTTTTGTTTGATCCTTCACGTTTATTTCGGAGAAGCTGATTACATAAATTGCGAACATTTATCTCTAAATCTAGTCAGTCAGTAGGGTTATTTCTGACTACGCATCTTACGTTATATTTGAGTGTTACATTTTCAAATATAAAAAACTAGTCACGTTTTCAAATGAATACTTTTAGAAACTCTCCATTAAAATGATAGTATTGTTTCCCATACACCAATAGCTCATAAACGAAACATAATTCACGACAGTCATATACAATGAAATAGAACTCTCATTGTTATCTTCATTGTAGGAAAAATAATGCTAGACAAAATTAGATGTTCGTAAAGTTGCCCTAATGTTCTCCTTTTTTGGAGACCTTAATACTATTGGGGAAACTAAGTTCCCGCTTTGATGTTCTATCAAGTGCTTTCAAAGTAACATTCTTACAGATTTTTCAGCCCCATGGTTCCTATTTGTGCCTTGATACATAGTGGTATAGTTGTCTAAAAGTTTACTTATGCGCTTTTCCTAAACAGTGTCAAATTTCTCATTACAGGTAAACAAAGTATTACTTTTGTGGAAACATTGATCACAACTATAATAGACAGCAAACCGAAATCAATTTCAGTTTCACAAAATCAAGAGTGAATTTTGCAAAACTTTGTTTGTCACCAATCAGTTAGTTTTAATAAAATAAGGTAAATAAATCAATACAACTGTAACTTCTTCGGACAACTTATGGCTTTGAAAATATTGGCTTTTAATACAGTTGGAGTTTATATAATAAAATGGAATAATTTGAGGTCAACAGAAAATAGTATTGAAGAATATATATTTACGGTTTTCCAAGCAAATGTTCTACCGATGTAACTATGTTTTGATCAATACCATTTTAGATCAGTCAGATTAGACGTTTTAGTCAATTGATCAACATATTTGATTTCATCATTTAAAATGCCATTAGTCTTCAGCTAACCGAAATAAACTTCTGTGTTAAACTAATTTCTTATACTAGACTATGACGTGAAATATAGTTTAGTCAATTCTTGAACTATTTCACAGAAACTTTCATATCGTTCGGAACAATAATAAAAATATTTATATTGAAAATGATTTTGAGTTATCTAAATGAACCTTTAGTGTCATGTGAGCATGTGTTAATTTTTGTCTTGACCACATAACATATTTTAATATGCTGTTCCGTATTAGTGACATCATAATACAACCACCCGTGTATCCTAATGAATACTACCATTACTTCTATTAATTCAATTTTGACACAGAACAAAAATATGCATTTAGAAGAATACTGATGCATCAATATTATATAGTAATATGATGTGATAGATGATACCTTGTATAATTACTTGTACTTGGTTATTATTATCAACATCAATCATGTGAGTTTCGGTAAAACACCTCCAAGCCCATATTATGTATATTCTGTAGACAATTATTTCCATCTTTGAGAAATAATATTGAATGTGAAGAAATGAACGACGTAATTATTATCGTTTTATTCAGAACATTTAAAGGAATAAATTTTTTAAAATAAGTTCTGTTATTATTATTTTGTATATGAATAGAATTCCAAATTTACTGTAGTAATTACATTCAAAATTGATTAATATTAAATAAGTTCCCTTGTTAATTTATAATGAACAAAATAGATTATGTAGTATACATATCACTAAATGTTTAAGTCAAGTCAAATGACGACTAATCTACATTTTTATCATTGAGACATTTAAAAAAATAATAAAAGATGCTAAGTTATTAGCTTATTTCTTGATGATACAAGAAATAACAAGGATACTATGCATGAACTTTAACCAAAGTGAATTATACAAAATAATTGTGCTAAACAATTCTTAATCGCTTATCATATTTCTTATTAATAATTCATTATTAAACAAAATATTATCAATGTTCGCTTTAATAATTTAGTAGTAAATTGATCAGTTTTCGGGGAACAATCACATAGTTTATGTGGATTATTATAAAACCAAACGTTTTCTGATAAAGACAATGATGTTTATGATAAATTACAACGTAGATAAAATCTAATATTTTCATAAACCATATTTTGATTATCTTTGAATGAATATCTTAAGTGATGCATTATCCAATTTCCATTTAAAGAAAGCTGAAACCAATCGATTTTAACCATGATCTGTTCAAATTGTGAGAATATACTGATCCTTCAACACTCATCAGGAGTCATCCTGTTATTCTCAAGCTAGCTAAAATATTATTTTACATATCACATAACTACACAACATGTGAACAAACATTTCATAGTAGCCAATATTTCTTTATTAAATAGCCAAACACTAGATGATAATGGTCATGTCCTTACCATTAATATTCAGCTCTTAGCGGATATTTATTGATTCTTATTGTTCGTCAAAGAGTGCTAGTGAACATCAGTTTTAACATCATGAAATCCACTGCATATTTCTGTTGTAATACGTTTTTTTCACTACTAATATTTAGTATTGACGAATGAAATTAAAACCATATATTTACAATCGGTCTAGTCTAAAGTTAATGATCACCAACAGTTAATGCACATGTTGTAACTTTCCAGGTTCTAACAGGCGACTGTGTGTTTCCATTTCATATGTAACATATATATTGGACACATTCAAATATAGTGGTAACAAAAAGTTTGAACATTGAGTGAATTCGAAACTTAATCATTTCTAAAACCTTTCACAGGTACCGAGTTATTTTTTCACCAAATATCTGGATGTCGTCAATTTGGGAATCTGTATGAGTCTACCAAAGATCTTCTTCAGTCGGTAGAACAATGAAAACACTAATTGGTACCAAATACTTTAATCAAATTCTACAGTTATATGGATCATAACAATAAACTAATTATTTGATATAAGGAGAAAAATAATCATTAATTATTTTCTTCACATCAACTGTTCCATCTATGAAAAAAAAGGTTTAGAACATTTTAGTTTTGTGTTTTCCTTTTTCTTAACAAATCAACAGTGCACAATATCTTGATATGTCGATTAACTACGACTGATAAACAGGAATGTATATGCATATATAATGTATATAAAGGATTTTTTTAGTTTTACTCTCTTATCTATTTAGTAAGTTCATCGACCAATCCCATCAGTGAACTAGTTAATATATACACGAGATATTATACAAAACGCATGCTGGCTTGTTTGTTGCTATCCTTTTTTTATAAAGGATGAAACTAAAACATTTTTACTGCGGTTCATAGACAGATATATATATGAACCATCACGTTCAAATATATGGAACGTAAAGCTTTATTTTGTTATTCCCCAACCTGGAATTTTCATGTCAACCTAGTTTCGCTACCAAACAGCTTTGAACATCATCGACATGATAATGATAAAGTAGTAAGAAAATTAGTATAGCATTCACTAAGTGTTTAAACTGTCAACCGCCTGTCATCTAGAATATTCACATTAGAAAAACATTAAGTAGTCTTTTTTTACTGTATGCTGTCAATATGTCTTCTCTTTTGTCTTATGGTTATGTATGTATGTGTGTCGAATGCATATGTTTGGTTGATGGCCTTAATTCGAAAAGTTGCATGCAGAAGGACATAAATTCTATAACTTGGAGCAAAACAATAGTTGTCTGATTAAAGAAATAAACATAACCTTCCGCCACTTATCCACCCTCGACCACCACCGTCAACATACACACAATGTAATATAGTTTATACAGTCAAATTAGACCTTGAACACACTTTTTAGAGAAAATTTTGATTGGCTTACCAAATTCAATATATATATATATATAGTGAAAACAATATATTTCATACCAAAATATTGCAAATGGACATGTTTCTACAATAACAGAATATTCGGCAATAAAAGTTGATATGAAGTGACCATATTACAACACAACAGTTACATCATCGATAAAGAAAATTAACGTAAAAATTATTTATACTTTATTCATACAAGTTTACGTTTACAGAAATAGTGGATTGTTGATATTTTTGTTACTCTGATAAACATACAGCATAACGATTCTGGGGAGGATTATAAGAACATTTCCAGTAAGTGAATCTTTGAATTCAATATGTCCAATAATTTACAACTTTACATGATTAGAAATAAGAATTTATGTACACGTGCAGAAAGTACACAAGTGCTAAGATTCCTCAGTAGTTCTTTCAATAGTTTCATTATGACAAATGATAAACATGATCATGTAAACTGGGCACATTTTCATATCCATTGACTAACCCATATTTATTAGAAACTGATCACTAAATTAATTTGTCTTCTGGTAGCTGTTGAATTGATTTGCTTGACTGATGTGGATATAGATATTTAAGAACAAACCACTGGTTACCAAATATTCATTTGGATAAAAATGATTTTAAACTCAGTTTTTAGATTAAGAATTTAATGTTTCCCTGAAATGTATTCATATCTATCGTCATTATGTACACTTATAACAATGTTTGTTTGCCGCAGGAAGCATAATATATGTTTTGCACCAAAAATATACTGAAGTTATGATTTGTAAATAATGTGAACTTGTTGAACGAGATGTGTTAAATGCCTTATCAAATACTTCTCTAAATATGAATGAAAACTATAAAAAAAACCACGAATTATGTTGATTAACCATTAAACGAATTAAGATGGACTTAAGTATAGGACGTAATAATAATGGGTTGGAAAAATTCCTGATGTCATTACATAAATGTATTTGTATTTTACGGTAACTGATCTGTACTGCAATGGCTGTAGCAGAAATTTAATTATATTTTCAGAACAAGACAGGTTAAATAAGAAACGTTCATTCACATTATCATATGCTAGATGACACAATAAGTGACTAATGTTTTGAAAGGTTTGTCATATGAAAATAAGCCTTACTCGAAAGAATAATATTTTCTACTCCGAAATCTGTTGTTCATTATAAACTAACTACTAAGTAGACAATAATACTGTTAGGATGCATGCAATCAAAAGTACTTTAATTACTTCATAGTAAAATGCTGTATTCTTCGACATTTCTACAATTCACCAATTGTAAATTAATCATTCGAAACAATACATCAAGTTGTAAAACTAATTACCGATATTTAGACGCTTCCATAGGAAAACTTTAATGACACTAGCCTTTGACTTAAAAAAGTTGATTGCTAATTTAGGAATAATTTAAAGCTCAGCAGGATATCTCAGTTTAGCTAATTCGACAGAAAATCGTGGAAAATTAGAATTTTTGTAACTTAACAACTTTCATTTCAGTCAGAAAATCTTATCAATAGTAAAAGAGAGGTTAAGTATTCTCGCACTTCGGAAAATTCACTTAGATAAACTTTAAAGAGCACTTATTAGTCAATTTCAAGTTGAAATCATATAATGGCTTTGATAACGATGAATTCCCTGGGAAATTCACAGAAGAAAGGGCATCAGTGCAAACAAATACTGATACTGAGATGTAGGAAGCGATTATTTTTATTAAAACTTACACGTTACAAATAAATTTCTAATAAGCTCACTCCAAGAGTCAGCTTATACTAATTTTACTGTTCGAGTAACTAGAATGTTAATAATTATTTTTTAGATTATGTCAAAAATTTGTTTTCCGTGCTAGTGGTAGCAACCAGAAGTGATGAAACTAATAAATACTGGCTAAATATCAATAAACCCGTGTTATGTCTACAGTATTGCCAAATGCGATGCGTTTTAAAAAGCACACCCAATAGCTTTAAATTGCGGAAGGATACTGGCATTTATAAAGTCATAATTGTGGCTATAAATAGTGTAATTAAAAATGTGATGTTGACGAAAAACTGCGTTATCAAATCTCCATTCTCTGCTTATAAAAAATGATTATTAGACCTATAGCATGTGCACACATTTAATTGACTTTATTTGTTTAAATAATTCTATTTATTTATACTTAACCAAGTATGGTTCACGTTAAAGTTTGGATAAAAGACACAAAATTCTTAATTTGATGGAACACCAAAATACGTAAAATATGAAGCTAAAATGGATTAGTACCGAGGAAAATCAATGTAAAAAGATGTTTCTCAACACGGAGTGGTGAAATAAACACAATCTACATAAGTTCCATTCAAATAAAAGTGATTTCTGACTGACTATATAGAGTACAGTAGTAAAATATAGCCGTCATCAGCGTAGTTCAATCTGACTCATATTTCATGCAGATCGAAGTAAACGTGTATGGTCATTTTCAGAACCCTATTCTAAAAATTATGGAAATCCTGAAGATCTAAAATCAACAATATTATTCTTCAATCTACGACCTTATCTTTCCACCATTTTCGTTGACTACGTGACCTATATATGATATACAACCATCGCTCCCTGTTTTTAAACATATAGTTGAAACAGGTGATAAGATTGATATTAACACTGCGTAAAATGGCGCAAACTATGGTTTATTGAAGCCATGGCCGTACGAAAACCCAAAGAAAGTTTGTTTTCAGCCTAAATCTACCCTAGTAATATTAGCTTATTATCCAGAGTGATGAGGCTTCAAGTTGTTTTTCATATTTTCATTATTATCTTTGTCTCTTCATGCCCCCCATTTCTAGTCTAGTTGGCCCTTTATTTTTATATATAAATGTTTTTAACAAATAAATGTGTGATCAGATTGTTCGAAATGTTTTGCGCTAATATATTACATAGTTCTGATAATCTTCGTCTTCTTGGTGCACTATCGAAAATTATCAAGAGGACTAATTCTTCTAAACCTACGTAAACTTTAACCAAGTCATTGTTGTTGGTTTTAGAACTAAATACAATTATCTAATCATCACTTTCATGACTTCAAAAAGTTTTTTTAAAGCGAAGAGTTCTTACAATCCTCAGGCATGAAGAGGTTTCTCGATAGCTTTTATGTTAAAAACATTCCAACGAAATCGAAACAATTTTTAACTTTTGGAAGTTTGACTCAACTGGCGCATTCCTGTTTAAGCAAGTAATAATGATATGGTTGCATGCTTCAATAAGTAGAAAACTGAACCTCTGCCGTTTGAAGACTTGGGCCAACTCTTTCGACAATAGATATGAAATGATTGCTATTTATTACAAACAGTTCACACGGTGGTCAGTTTTTTAAATAATCAATTCAAACCTCGATGATAATATAAACTTATCAATAATTCCAATTAGAGTCGACAAATGCCGCTTACGTTCATCATTCTTAAAAAAACATGTTCCAAGGAGATCTTATAGACTATAATTTCCATGAGTGCCAACAACTTAAATTAATGTCAGTCAGTATGTGGTAACTCACATTTCATAGTCTTTTGATAAAACATTTCAGGGTAGAAAATATCTTCTAGTGAAAGTATTGTAACAAGCAGCTTTTCCGACAGTTAAAGCTTTCAAAACTCCTTTTTTGTATCTCACAGGTTAAAGGATTCAATAAAAATTTCACATGTAGTTTCACAACAATAGTCATGAAAAGTTTTAAAATCACGGCTAATATAGATTATATTATTGTAGGCTTTCCTAAGTTTCATTCGAATATGAATTAGTTAACTTTAATTCTAATTGTAATACATTGGACAAGTGGTCGATATCACGATTACGGATTCACTGAGACTATAAAAAAGATCTACTGATGAACTAGGCTTTCTGTATGTCAATCTTAGTTAAAGAAAACCATACTATTAACCCCAATAGAACTTAGGACCTGAGATATACGAGCGCAGTTGCTATAAATAATATTTCTTATACAATAAACTTATGCATATACAAAAACCAATAATTCTTTCTTACAAAATTTACATTATTTGCATCAAGATACATCAGCAACAAATTAGATCAAAGATTCTCCATGCTTTGTTTTTACGTTGACATGTTGTTTACTTTATCAAGAAATGTGGGATCTAAAAGCCTGAAAAATTTTACCCCTATGGAAGATAGAAAAAGCTACAGAAACGTGACTTACTGCTACCTACATAAATTTAATGGTCTTAATTTCGAATTGTTTGAAAGAAATAAAATGCTCCATTATCTTAATTTTGTCCCATTTTTTTTATTTTATCAAAAATAAAATAAAGATTTTTTTAACTTCTGCAATTCCTGAGCAGTTTTACAAACGATGTTAAATATCACACTCTTTTAATCAGGTTCATTAGTGACTGGTGATCTGAACAATGTTATGCAGTTATTAATTAAAGTATTTGTTGACACACAAGAGGATCATAAATTTTTGAATACTCTAGATTATATGATTCAACTGCTCACAAACAAATGGATTTTTTCTCCATTTTTTTCCGAATACATTCACTTTGGTTAGTTTTATTTTAATATACAGTAATATAAATCAAAAATAATAAGACTGAGAGTGTTTTCTCAAGCATATTAGATACAAATTTTAAGTCGAACTTCTGTGCAAAACTTTGATAAGAAGTGGGTAGTATTAAAAGAAGTTTGATTTATGCATATACAAGTTTTAAATTTTATTTAACTTCGACCCTGAACAATGAATAATGATAAAGTATTATACATCAACTGTTTGTTTATTCTCTGAATATATGTAAAACAAATAATGTTATATCCAATTTTGTATATTATAGTTCGTGATTACTACAATCCACTAGGTTATATATTACCACATGCTATCATTTATTCGATTACAAGTTATTTGATTATATTTAACCTAATTAATTAGTAGATATGGCTTGCATGCCTACTATTATTTGATATATATTTTGCGTATATAAATAATTCTGTCTACAAAAATGACATATGGGATGATAGATAATTTGCCCTGGCTGCATTAATATATAATATCAAAATCATATGGCCATATTGAGATAAACAATATATATATATATATATATATATATATATATATATATATATATATAATTTTGAATACTACATAAACATCACACAAAGCAATAAAATGTGCTATTCTTTGAAAACTAATTCTAACTGATTTGTCGAGAGAAATCACTCCGTCTGGAGATAAAGAGATCTATATTTTATTTAAAATATGGTATTTGGTTGTAATTATGTGATTAAATGAAACTGTATCCAAATACTGAAGTTG